CCAGCTTCAGATACCAGTAGCAAGTCCCGGGTTGTGGCCTGTGCTTCCGCCTGACTGGCTATACATCAGGGTTCCCATGACCCCCTCTAAGGAGGTTTGATTAATCTGCTAGAGTGGCTCACAAAGCTCAGAGAAACACTTTTCTCTCTTTTGTCCTTTATTAAAAAGGATATTGTGAAGGATACAGATGAGCAGCCAAAGGGAAGAGATGCACAGGGTGAGGTCTGTGGGAAGGGGCGTGGAGCTTCATGCCTTCCCTTAAAGTGCCACCCTTTGAGAACCTCTGCAAGTTCAGCTCTGAACCCTGTTCTTTTGGGTTTTTAGGGAGGCTTCTTTATGTAGGCATGACCGATTACAGTATTGGCCATGGGTGATCAACTCAACCTTCAGCCCCTTTCCTTCCCCAAGTTTTGGGGGTAGGGCTGAAAGTTCAGCCTTCTCATCATGCCTCAGTCTTTCTGATGACCAGCCCTCATCCTGAAGCTATCTAAGGGATCTAAGATATCTAAGCCACCAGGCATCTCATTGGCACACAAAAGGCACTTTTTTTTTGAGAGAGAGGGTGTTGCTCTGTTGCCCAGGCTAAATTCATCCAGTGGTGCAATCATAGCTCATTGCATCCTCAATCTGCTGGGCTCAAGCAATCCTCTTGCCTCAGCCTCCCAAGTAGCTAAAACAACAGGTGCATACTACCATGCTGAGCTAATTTTTGTATTTTTTTGTACAGATGAAGTCTTGCCACGTTGGCCAGGCTGGTCTCGAACTCCTGACCTCAAGCAGTCCTCCCGCCTCAGCCTCCCAAAGTGTTTGGATTACAGGCATGAGCCACCATGCCTGGCCTCAAAAAAACATTCTTAACACCCCAGAAATTCCAAGGGTTTTAGAAGTTGTGTGCAGGGTCAGAGACCAAATATATATTTCTTATTATGTCATAATATCAGTGATGCAGTTCAGGCTGTGGTAACAAAGGCCAAAATGAAGTAACCCAAGCACCTTAAATTTCTTTCTCATGTAAAAGTTAAACTAGGTTCAGACTATGTCCAGGGTAAGCATGGTGGCTGGATGGCATTAGGTACCCAGATTCTTAACATCATAGACTGGATGGCTGCTCCAGGTTTCATTGTCAGATGGAGGTGGAAAAGATAGAGTGGAAAATATCGGAGGATGTGCTCATTCCCTTAAAGGGCATGATTTTTGGAGTTTTGTGCATAGCTTCTACTCTTCAACCATTGCTGAGAACTTAATCACAGGGTCGTACCTGGTCACAGCTGCAAGGGAGACTGGGAAATGTAGTCTTTATTTTGGGCAGCCTGTGACCATCCAAAAGTCAGGGACTCCATTATTAAGGAAAGAAAAGAGAAGGTTCTTTTTAAGTTGAGGGCATGATTTTGAGTTCCATTCAAGCCATACTCTCAACTTATTTTGGCCTCAACTGTGGCCCACTTGTTAAACATAGTAATGTCTGGTTAAATGAGAGGTAGACATCCCTTGGTGATGAAGTGCTTTTTCTAGTACTTGTACCCATAAGTTTTTCTTTGTCCTTTTTTTTTTTTTTAAATGGAATCTCACTCTGTCACCCAGGCTGGAGTGCAGTGGCACGATTACAGCTCACTGTAACCTCCGCCTCCTGGGTTCCAGTGATTCTCCTGTCTCAGCCCCACCAAGGAGCTGGGACTCCTGGCATATGCCACTATGCCCAGCTAGTTTTTGTATTTGTCCATTTTTTTTTGTTGGACTACTTATAACCATACTATTCTTTTAAAATAAAATGTATTCTACATAATAGTAAATTTACATGATGTAATTTAAATTCCATCATTTACAATGGAGAGATGTCAATTACGTAATATCGCAGCCCTGCCAATGATGGGTTTTGATTCAGTCCTGCTACCACTTGTGAGGCTGTGACTAATTTATTTACCTTCTCCAAGCTTCCTTTTCCTTTCCTCAACCAGGAATAGGACTAGCTACATCATAGATGGTTGTGAAGACAAGCTAGACGACAGATGAAAGTTCTTGGCACAGAGTGAACACTTGATAAATTATATGGCAGATATGTATGTACTATCTACCCATGAAGCTTACTTTAATTGCTATCATTTCTAAAAATTATAGCCATAGAATTTTTCATAGCATTTGTACACCTATCACTTAATTTGGGCTTCACAATACCCTGGGAAACAGGTAGAGCCGATAATACTTATTTTTCTATTTTTCTACATTACGAAATATAAGCTCAGAAAGATGGATTCGCATGTCTGAAGTCACAACCTCTTCCCTCTTGCCTGGACTCTTCCTATGAGCATTGAAACCTGCTCTACTGGCTACCATCCTGAATGACAAATCAGTCCTCCTTCAACCCACGAGACCCTCCAATACTCCCTGGTCTCAATTGTCCTTGGTAGCCAAGCTTTCCAGGACTCATCAGCACGTGCTGCCTCCGTGTTTACTTTCAGTTTACTTATCAGCCCACCCCACTTGACCTGTGGCTCTTCATTCATTGCTCCTGGTAAGAGCTTGACTTGAAGTCCTCTGCTGTCTCTCACTCTTGCCTTAGACAAGCTTATCCATTCTCGTGGTTTCAAATGCCATCCCAAAAGTTAATCACCAGCTTAACCACCTTTGTGATCTGCAGTTAGTGAAAAGATAAGAGAGAGAACCTGAACCGGGGTGGGTCAATAGGACAGGAAAGAAAACAAGGAATAGGAAAAATGTTTGTGGGGACTCCCAGGACTTAGAGATTGGAGACTGTATGGCTGCGGGGTAAGGTGGGAGAGGGACAGTCAAAGGTGACTCCTCTTTTGTTGACATTCACGGGGAGGGCTGGAACAGGGCTTGTTTGAAGAGCAAGATGAATCAGGGTTATAGACCTGAGTTTGGGGTAAGAGTGGAACATCCAAATGGAAAAAAGCAGCTGAAAGGACATTTGTTCAAAGGCCTTTTTCATCACAGTTTTCTCCTTCTGCTGATCCAGGTACACATCCTCCTGACACCCCCGCAATTAGGGCCTCCCACATGACACTTGGTCAGCCTGAGATACAGAAGTAGAAGGGAAGTACTTTTCTAACTGGGGTGGATCATTATTGCAACCTATGCCATATGGACAGCATCACCATGGATAGCGTTTTTTTAGGGATTTCAGTGGAATCTGAGGGCTCCTGAGGCATTTCCAATGGGTTTTTTAAAAGGTGATAACAGGCAGAAATGCATGATGCTGTCACCTGGGTTGCTTGTACATGACACTGGACAGAACCTAGGGAGACCTAATCGTGGAGTTGGTCACCCCGGAGAGTTTCTCAATGTCTTTTTCATTTAAAAACCTATGGTTTTATGATTCTATGAGGTAGATTTGGGAGATTTTTTGTAAAGTGCTGAAGAATTCAACCTCTGAAAACTCACCTTTCCCGGAATTTGTCCCAGCAAGATAAGATTGTAGTTCATTTATGTGGCCACACAGGGGCAGCACACACAAACTCACGTTTTCTTGAACAGGTCTTGATTGTCTTTGCTTTTAGTTCCCACTGCCACCTCCTAGTACAGACTCTTAACAGCTCACCCGGGTATCTAACTTTCGTGCCACTTGGCCTTCATCACTTCATTTCCAAGGGCAAGAATACAGAAGGGACACCGACTGCCGGATGCCCTCTGACCATGTCCTTGCCATGTTGTCAATTGCCTGCCGCCTCATCCCCACACCTTCCCTGCTAACTTCAGTTTCTCCCATCCGTGGCCAAGTTCTCCCACCTGGCCACCTTCTGACGTGCTGACCACTGTGTAGTCACCAAGATTACCTCCAAGACACTGAGTGCTGGGAATGTGGCAAATCTGTGAATAGCATGAATGGGAAAGGGTTGGGGGCTCCAGCTGTCAAGGCTGGCAGTGACCATCAATAGGTTGTGAGCGCTGTGCTGGGCAGGTGGGCCTCAGCTGCAGAGAGTGTGATCTTCAGTGGACCCAGAGTGGCATCCAGCCAATAGCTATAGGTAGTCCACCAATTACACTTTGCGAAACATTGACTTCCTAGCTTCATTAATTAATCTAAGTCTCCAGCTTCTTTTCAGAAATGGGAAGGAGTCAGTGCATTTTTGGAAACTGCTTCCTCAGCACAACTCCAGGGGGCGCCATTCTCGGAAAGTACATTGTGAATAGCATCCTCTAGAATTGTGCAAGAGAGCAGCCCTGGGAATCAGATTCCAGTCCTGCACAGGACACAGAATAAAGAAGCTTGGGACAGGGGCTCTGGAGAGGACATTATAGGATGAGGGTGATGCTGAGTACCCTCCACTTTTTTGACCTTATGCCAAGTCCAGGTAACTTCCTCCTCCTACTCAAGAGCAAGTCTGGAGTTTTTCTAGGGATAGGGAAGAAGTGTTGCTAAGTGCCCTTGAGTGCCTGCTCACATCTCACTGACCCGAAGGAAGAGGGGACCAGCCTCTGGGCAGCCAGGTGGACTGATGTGGAGACAGGGCCCTGGAAGGGGCTGTCCAGATTCTCTAACTATTTTTGTGCTGTCCTCAGACCCTACTTGGTCACAGCTCAGGGACCTGGTCTTCGGTGTTCAGGGACCTGGACCGGTTCTGCCCAAATCCCTGGTGATATTTATGATTTTTCATGCCTGCAAAGGGACTGGGGCCACTTTAGGACATGGAGAGATTAGGACACAGGTGCTCAGAGTACCATGTAGGTAATATCTCCCACTGCGGGGGGATTGGGGGAGAACCAGCCTGAGAAGTTGGTTTCCCCTGCCCGCCCTGCCCCCACCTCCCTACACACACCTTTTGGCCTCCAAAAGGCTGCAGGTGGAGTGGGCAGAGGATGGAGGGGTGTTAGGAATTGGGGAATCAGCTGCTCACAAGGGGCACATAACATCTGAGGATCCCATTTGCGGCCGGGGGGATGGCAGAGATCGCCCCTCCGGTCTGCCTGGCGCTCAGGGAATTGGTGGCAGCTTCTATTTCAGAGTTTATGGTAAGAGGCTGTAGCCGGCACACACAGACAACACACCCCACCCTTTAAGGAAGTGGGGAGGAGAGCAGCAGGGGTGTGGTTAACAACTCAGAGGAGGAGGGGGAATCTAACCTGTCAGCCCTTTTACTCAGCCACAGCCTCCGGAGCCGCTGCACACCTACCTGCCCGGCCGACTTACCTGTACCTGCCGCCGTCCCGGCTCACCTGGCGGGGCCAGAGGGAGCAATCGCCGGAGTCCGCGCCTCCCTGGGTGAGTCCCTCCCGCGAGCCAGGGCTGAGCGCTGTGCCCGGCAGAAGTTGGAGGCTTGACCGAATGGCAGGGGTTGGGGACGACAATTCCGGGATCCTGGGCACCTGAGCTGGGAGTTCCCGGAAAAACAGCCAGACCCAGGAAATCGGAACCCTGGGTGCTGTGCACACGCCCGGAGCTCGCCAGCCTTCCGCGGGGAAGAGGGGTTCTATTTTAGGAGTAAATTTGACACTATAGGGTGTTTCTCCCTCTTTGTCCTCTCAACATATTCAGACAGGGGAGGCTGGGGGACGCTAGGGGTGACAGTGTGAGGGCACAGGCAGGCTGCTGCCTCTAAAGGTCAGGTTAGGGAGCCACGGGGTTTCAGATCCTGCCTCAGACCTCTGCCTGCTCCCGCCCCGCTCCCCGCTCCTCCTGGGCCCTTCTGCAGCCCCTGGGGTCATAGTCTCACCCACAGCCCACCCCAACTCTCCTGCAGCCACTCCTTGCCCCTGAGAGGTCATCTTCTGAATCAAGCCCTGGCTGGAGGAAGCAGGGGTGTTCTGGGGGGCAGGGGAGCTCTTGTGTGTGTGTGTGTGTGTGTGTGTGTGTGTGTATGTGTGTGTGTAGTCAACACTGGCCACTCTGGTTCCTTGAGAAGCTGCCTCCTGAGTACCACTCAAGGGTTAAGTTTGGAGCTGCCTCTGCCTGCTGTCAGGCTGAGCGTGGGCACCGCTTTGGGTGGGTGAGCGTGGAGCGGCATATGGGTGATGTTCTGCAAGCCCTGCCACCTGCCCTAAGCCTCGACCACATGATACCGGCATCTCCCTATACCCCAAACTGGGAGCAAAACCCAAGTCCGCTCATTTAAGGGGCCAGCGGGAGGACAAGAGCAGAAAGTTGTGCCTAGAGGTGGCTTTAGCCAAGAGGGACTCGGAAGCTGTGCTGTGGTTGGGTCTGAGCCCACTGGGGCCGTGCACCTGGCGTGACCCGGTGGTGGGTGCTGGGAGGCCCCTCCACGTAGGATGCTCTCTGTTCACCCCGAGTGCTGTTACTGATGGCCCTGTCTTTCACAACCACTCTAGGGGAGGGGGAGGAGGACACTGATGAAAAAGTGACTAAAGACAGAAGGGAGGAAGGAAGTAGTCACACTGGAGAGCCCCAGCATCATTCATTCAGGAGGCACTCACTGGCTTCCCGCCTGTGGCCCGGTGCAGGTGCAAGGTGTGGGGACAAGGTGAGTGTGGCATGGCCTCTGCTCACCAGGGCAGTGTGGGATAGGGGGTGGTTGAGGGAGGCTGCCAGGGGAAGGTACAGGGTACTATCCAACCGTGCACTAGAGGGCTGTGGGGGGAGCCAATCAGCAATGGCCAGGTGGGTTTCCTGGCAGAAGTGACTCCAAGTTGAGAGCTGAAGGATGACTAGAAATTAGCCAGGCAAGAGAAGAGGGGAAAGAACAGCAAGTGCAGAGACCAGAGGCTAAAAGCAGCAGGAGGCTGGAAGCAGCGGGAGGCATCCAGGAAAATGAAAGTAGCTGGGCTTGTTGGGAGCCTAGAACATGCAGGGGCGAGGGGAAGCTGCAGGGGTGAGTGGAGACCGCTCTAGAAGGCTTTGGAAGGCCTGCCAGGCTGCCATGGCAACTTCTGTTGGAGCAACACTTGGGACCTGGAGCCAGGCAGGAGACTTCCCAGCAGAAAGGGGTTGCCAGATTTAGCCAATAAAAGCACAGGACACTCAGATTTGAATTTCAGATAAGCACTCAAGGTTTTTTTTTTTTCCAATACAAATATGTCTCATGAACTATGTGGAACATACTTATACTCAAACATTATTCACTGTTTCTCTGAAATTCACATGTAACTGGGTGTCCTGTATTTGGCAACCCTACTCTAGGAGAAGCTAAGGTTGGCGCAATGCTGGGAAGTAAGGGCTGGAAACTGCCCAGGCACTCTGAGAACAGTCTCAGGTTTATCTTGTAACCATTCCTCCTGGATTTTATTTTTGAGCTCATTCACTGATTGACGCTATTATTTAAAAGACAAAAAAGATCAATTCCTTGGTCAGTTTACTCATCTATACAGGTGAAAGGAGTATGGTACCTCAGAAAGAAACAGCATTAAATCCAGACAGATCTGGGTTCAAATCCGTGTAGACTGGTGAGCTTCTCTGACCTTCAGAATCCTCTTTTCTGAAACGAGGGCAGGAATATCTGTGCAGGTGGTTGGGAGGATCCCTGATAATGTATGTAAATTGCCTAGTGAGTACTAAAGGAAACACGGTGCATATTGAATTTTGCAACACCTTCACAGGGGTGAGCAAAACAACAGCCACAGAGTGTTTGGGTTCATTTACTTCCACAAGTGAGCACTTGGAGGTCTCAGGCAAAATACAGGGTACGGTTTCTGCGTCCAGTGAGAACACCTGGGGTTAGCCCTTGGGTTGGGGGCAGAGTCTACATTATGTTTTTAGCTTTGCTACTCCCTTCCCATATGACCTGCTTCAAGGGGTGGAGATATAACGCTCTTCTTGAGGGATGGTGGGTGGGCAGAGAGTGACTCAAAGTAGAATTAACTGAAGGGAAATGTGAATGAATTAAAGTAGAGAATCCACATAAAATATTCAGTGCAGACAAATGGGCCATGAAATTTGGCTGTCATGAGTCCCAGTTTTAGGATGAGTTCCTTATTAGAAAAGTAGTGCTAAGAGATAGAGCAAGCGAGCGTGCCTTGTGAACTGGATTTTGACTTTAATGGGAGCATTTGTAACAACAAATTAGGGTCCTCCTAAAAGGGAACCTAGAGGAAGTTAGAATTCGTTAGGAGAAAGAGGAAATGGAAAGTGTGTTTCCTTTGCGGGAACGGCTAGGTTAAAAATGGTCCTTCTTTCCAGTGGCTGAACCTCCCCATCCCCCTGTGATAAACATTTTGTCCCCAGGTCCTTAGATGGTTTGCCCAGGTGGTGTTGAGAGAGATCCTATGGCGTGAGATGGATAGAGGTGTTCCACTGAATACCTATGTTCTATGAAAGATCCTATGGTGTGAGATGGATAGAGGTGTTCCACTGAACACCTAACGTTTCTATGAAACATTCAAATGAGCCTGCACTTGGACTTGTGTCTTGAATATTTGCAAGGTTATGATCAGTCCTGCATAAAAAGACACATGTCATTCCCTAAGTATGGCTATAGAGCCCATGCAGATTCTCAGGGAAACAGCACTCCACGTTGAGTGAACCTTGATTGATGTGAGCGCAGTTTGGGGACCAAGCAGGTCTTTCAGAAGACATAGCCCTTCTCATAACACTAGCCAGGATGGACCTAATTCATTCTAGACTAGGCAGTGTCCAACTTAGAGAAGATCTTCAAGGAAGGAGCCCTTGTGTGCAACCTTTTTTTTTTTTTTTTTTTTTTTTTTTTGAGGTGGAGTCTCACTCTCTTGCCCAGGCTGGAGTGCAGTGGTGCAATCTCAGCTCACTGCAACCTCCGCCTCTTGGGTTCAAGTGATTCTCCTGCCTCAGCCTCCCAAGTAGCTGGGACTACAGGCATGCACCACCACGTTCCACTAATTTTTGTATTTTTAGTAGAGACAGGGTTTCACTGTGTTGGCCAGGAGAGTCTCAATCTCTTGACCTCGTGATCCACCCGCCTCAGCCTCCCAAAGTGCTGGGATTACAGGCCTGAGCCACCGCGTCTGGCTATATGCAACCTTTCTAGCATCATGCATCCTTCAGAGACACAAACTCCCACCTGTGTCAGCCTCAGTCTTCCCTTTGCAGCTCTGGCCATGTTTTATCATGCAGAGGACTCTGGAGAAAGTCCAAGTCCCTTGGCACTTAGCTCTGCATAGTGATGACAGTAGCTCCATGTGCCCCAAATACTGCTAGGACAAAGGAAACTGATGGTGAGGCTAGGGAGGGGAGGGAGGCTACCCTGGGGCTACCCTGCATGGTAGATCACTCAGTCTCTAGTTTCCCCTGCCTGGGACCCATATGTCTCAGGACCACGTGACTCTGGCCTCCCAGGTAGATGGCCACATCGGGGGATGGAGTAGAGGTGCAGAGCTGCGACGTGCCTGGGGCTGAAAGTGTGGTAATGAAGATAAGTTTCGCTGGCTTGAGGATGAAGAGTTTCTTGTAGAGTATAGGTCAGTTCCAGGGTCGAGGAGAAAGAGCAGGGATAGTGGTGACTCTGCAACACTGATATGCCTTATCTGTCCAAGCAGTCAGATGTTCAAGAGCTCGGGCTCAGAGTCAGTCTGCCTGGGTTCCAGCCCAGGTCTGGGACCCCGTGAGTAGCCTTAGGTAGGTGAGTTAGCCCTAGCTTCCTATCTGCAAGATGGAGACAACAACAGGGCTTCGGGTGAGGGTGGCATGAGGTAGTATACGTTAGAGAGATATTCAAAGTACAGCTACTAACGCCTGAGTATAGATCAAACAGAACAGACACCACCTTTACCCTGAGCAGCATCAGAGAAGCCCCCTTCCATGCCAGGCTTACCCCGTCAGTGCATCTTGGGGAGTCTGGGGGTGGAAGAAACAGGCCTTTGGGGGGCTGTAGCATGGATATTTCCAACGAGGATGGACTATTTTGATATTTCAACAACCCAGATGCACCCGCTTAATAATAGCGTCTTATGCACCCACTTAATAATAATAGAGTCAAAGTACAATAAAACATTCAGTCCCATAATTAGGCAGATGATACACATCCAATAAGTGTGAGCTCTCCGGTGTCTTTACACGTATGGCCATATCTGAGCTGGTGGGTCAGCGCCATTTATTTTTCCAGAGGTTATAGGGCCTCTTCTGCGAGTCATCAGGCAGTTTCCCCTGAGCACTGTCTCACAAGCATACATCAGGTATTCAATGAGGTTTATTTCTGCCTAGCGCCACTCTCAGTTCACTGTGTTTGGGGAACAGCCAGCCCTAATTAACTCTTTAGACAGCAAAGAGACTGTCTACGAATGCCCATCCAGCACTGAAGTCCAGATGGTCATTTAAAGTGTTCAGAGAGCTGACAGGCA